GTTTATTTCGAACATTTTTTTGCATCGTTTCTGAACAAATTTGCGACTGGTTAATTTCGATTCGTTCCATCCTGATTTTGTAATTAATATTGAATTGTGAATAGCCAGAAGATATTGGGATGACTGGCCGGTTGTTGTTCAGATTATCGTTTTCGGCATCGCTGTTCAGATTTTTCCTCGGATAAGAGGTCATTGAAAAGTTCGAATGGTGCCAGCGAACCACTTGTACTTCTGTCCCTGATTGACTGCCTGCTAAAAGTCATACTAATGGTCCTTGACCACTTTAATTGCTCAGTCAGATTTTCGAAAGAATCTAAACATTTCGCTATTAATTTTCTTGTTTCAGCAGAATTTTTTTAAATTTGATTCTTATTTTTTTTATTAAATCTGATTGGAGGCAGAATAGCCGAATGGGTAGTGGCTGAGACTGTTGTCCTGAGATGCAAGGATTCGATTTCTGCCCTTAACAGAAGTAAACTTATCATTAAAAGTAAAATTCGCCTGATGTTGGCTAAAGTTAACCTAAGTCTTACCAAAGACGGTAGATGGAATCAGTTATTTTTTATTAGCACTCACCACTGTTAGTTAAACTCGCTCAGCTAGCTTATCAGACTAGATATGCCGGGAAGTTCCTTGACGATAGAATTACAGGTGAGTTGCCAGCATCACTCGGGATTTACTGGTGCGGAGAGCTGAAGCTCAGAACAACCACATTGAACCTCTACTATCCTTCGCTTTCTTTTCTTAAGTGACGTTGCCACCCGGTGGAGTTTGGTCGTCGGCCGGATTGAAACCCAAGCCTCATTTCTCAATGGGCGCTATCTTGCTTCTGACCCAGCGGGATGCTAATCATGTATGTGTTAAATCTAATTGATTAATCGAAAAAAGTGGAACTTGCTGAAAAAACAAATAGCATATGTTTACTCTTCTTATTCTTGTAGCTGTCTTTCGCTCTTTTATAATTTCACCAGTCTAGACCATAAAAAACTTTTAGATTTGCTTATTTTCGCTTTTTCCATAGCGTTTTTTGAAAAAATCTCAGCGAAAGAAGTGAAGAAAAAAATTTTAAAAAATCGCAAATTTTTTTAAAATTATTTTTAATTTTAATTAAATTTTATTTTCTTAAATTTTAAAATTATTCTCTTCACAATTCCGGCACTATCAGTTATTGTTATCGCTTTTTTTGTGTATGCAGGGAGCTGGATAGCTTAGTGTGTGGTATCTCAGATCATCATGTTGGAAAGCCGAGGTTCGTTCCTGCCTCGCCTCTCCCTCCACAGGCATAAACTTGCTATTGAAATGCAGGTATATTCAAAAAAATATAACGCGTTATAATATTAGAAAGATATAAATGTTTCTTAAAGCTCGAGGACGAACAAAAGTTGAACTGATATCTTATCTGCGAGCGTTAAGATTATAACGGTGCATCCAACAGGAGTGAATTTGTTATCAGAAAACCCTCATAATGCTGGCGATTTATGGGTATCATCACCAAATGACTTCTTGATAACCAGTGAAATGAACGCTAGCATCTTAGCTAATTAATGATAAGTGCTGTTCGATGAAGAAAGCAGTTGTACCATACTGACTTTTTTGGAATGGAAATAAACCAGCATTGAAATTTGTTGAAATTTGTTGCAATTTTTTTTTCGTTTAATTTCCATACTTGAAAATAAATTGATGATGGAATTTTTCTCCTAAAAGCATTTTAATTTAGAATATTTCGCATGTTTAAGTTTATTAGGTAATAAATAAATTGTCACATATGGCGAAATAAAGTCTTTTTCCAAATTCGTTGTGATGAATGCACAATTTTTGGCCCGAAATGTCGAATTTCCATCATAATTGGTGTTTTTAAATTTTGACGAAAGCTGTCGTCGTCAGTCATGTGAGAACAGAAAGATCATTGAGTTAAGCGCATATAAAAATGTAGAAATTTATTTCGGGAGGTGCATTATTCATTTGTAAAATATATCTTGAGATATTTGAGAGATTTTTTTCTTTTTTTTAAAGGCCATTCTTGGTTAGCCTCGCTCCACTGGTTTGTCTGGTCCCAAAAACAGATACCAGGGAATACCACAAGTTGCTGGAAGCGACACCCTTGGCGCTTTGAAATGAAAGCAGCAACCCACTGAGCTATTCCATTCCAAGAGTTTAAAATTTTTTCGCTCAGATTTAGCTCGGATTTAATGAGATTGCTCAAACTTGAATTTTAAGTTCTTTTATTTTTATTTAATCTTATTTATTTTATCTTTTGGGTTCCACTTTGACCATTATTCATTTCATTTGATAATAATTATCCTTATTGGGATTAGCAGTAATCTGTGTTTTCGGGAAGTTGAGCATTCAATATTTATTCCATTGAATGGGCTTTTTAAATTGAGGAAAATTTGGAGGTTGATTTTCAAGCCATCACTATTCAGCCGTTCAACTCGTTGTAATCAGCTGTTATCCATTTATTATATGGCAGCAACTGCTTGCTTTTTTAGTTAATAACTATGACTAAGAGGATATAAATAAGTGAATAAGTAGTCAGCGCTAGTTAGGCTCACTCCATTGGCTGTTAGTGCGGTTGAAAAATTTTTGTCATGGAGTTACATGGCGATAGTAATACAGGTGCGTCGTCGGCACCACTTTTTTCAGGCCAGGTTTATTTCCGTCGGGGGAAGAGGCCGAAGCTGTGCATTAATTGGTGCTCTATCCAGTCGTCCTGCCTGTTTAACCGCATTCAGAATTATAGAATGTAAAATAAGGAAGAAGGAGCTTTTAAAATGTGTGTTTTTGAAAGTGAATGTTTCGTATCAATCATCCGATAATTGATGTCAGTTATTGTCATAAATAGTACAAGGAGAAATTGAACTAATATATGTTTCATTAAGAATAAGTCATTTATAAAGGGTTCAATTCATTCAAATCATTCATTGTCATATCTGAATATCTGAATGTATTTACGTTTGAGCTATTTGAGTTTGGCTCTCGTTGATTTGACGAGTAAACCTGTAAATACGAGTGAAATCCGAATGATTGGCCCGCAATACGCTTATGTCTCTTAGCTCCATGTGGAAATCAGTCAGTTCATCGCGAACAAAAAAAGTTGACTCCTTTTTAGAATATCTTGCCCTTAATTCTCAAAGAATAGCTGTAGTTTTTGTTTGAAGCAATTTCTTAGTTGTGGCGAAATTATGGATGGACTCTAGGTTCGTATTTAATGGCGTTTTTCTCTTATTCATATATTTTGTTTTTAGTTGGTGGATAGTTTGAAAAAAGGAGTGGAGGTCGAGTGGTCGAGTGAGTTATTTTGAATTCGATTCCTATCTCATTAAAACTAAAATTCGTCTATACATCTATACATCTGTCTCCAAGATTCTCTGGCAAAGGGGACCTTTCTTATTAGCCAGTGGAACGAAACTATCGGAGGTGGTGAAACTACCACCACCTAAAAATTAAATTTTTTCATATAGATAATTTTTTTAACGAACATCCATTCGAAATCCATTGAAAAATGAACCGCCAGCATCATACGGATTTTCAAACGACATTTTTATCTGCAATATAAAAAGAGAAGATTGAAAGTCTAAATAGTCTAAATAGTCTAAATTTATAAAAATATTTATATTTATCAAATATTAGAAATAATGGAACATTTGGTTAGAGCAAATAGTGCGTGATTGAACAGCAGAATGGTCATCTATGATTATCGTTTCGAACGCTAAGGCTTAGATTTCTTTCCCAGTGGAAGTAAACATGTTATTATAAAAATCCGGTTGTTGTGCAGTCCATCTACACTTCTATCACAAAGGGAAAAGTTTCGTAGTACCAAAGAGTGAAACTAAACTAACCAGAAATGCTAACTGCTTACTGTTTTTTTGTTTTACTTATAACTGTCGTGGATTAAAGAAATGTGAAATGCTGCAAATTTTTAATTTTTTAAGGCTTGATTAGACTTGATTTTAATTTGATCTTTAATCAAACGACAAACATTGCTGCTAGTAAGGAAGCGACTGACAAACTATTAACCATTTGTTTCTGAAGTTATTGCTTTATTGGACATGCTAGGGTGAGAAGAGTTAGGTCTTTGGTTGATTCATAATGGGATAATCTTCAGTTCATGATCTATGATCTAAAATCAGAGATCGATTTTCGAAAAATATTATAGAACTTAAAGAAAAAAAAAGGCGGAAAGGAGAAAAAAATAGATTTTCAGGATTCAACCGTTGTACTTTAATTGGTAGACGAAATTGATTAGAATCCTTGGCTAAGGGTGGAGACTAACTATTTAGTCGATAAGATTCACATATCTGAGAGTTCACTTTGGTTCGCTTGAGTATTTAAGAATGTTCGTTTGCATGGGGATTATCGGCTGATTAGAGGAAGGAGAAGGCAGGCAGCGAAGTAGGAAGGCAATCGGTAGTACTGAGACTGGTCGCTTTATACATTTCACTCATTTGAATGGAGCAGACGATTTGTTTTAGTTGCTTTATCAGATCATTTTATTTGAGTCACAGGGGAATTAGAAACACACTAAGTGGAAAGTGGACTTCATTGATTTAATTGATAATCGGCTTATTGCGGTTAAGATGATAACAACTGGTAGTACTGTTGATCTGATTAACTTCGAGTCCAAATCGCGTCCATCATATTTGTTTCATATTTCTTTTTTTTAAATTAAAGAACGATGGATTTTATGAATTGTCACGATGTGTTCGATAATTTTTTTAGATAATAAATGATTGCTGTGATGATTTATTGATATTTTTAAAATTGCAGTAAAAATTTTCAACATAATTTAAACACAGGATTTCAGGAATTCGGATTTGAAATCAGCATTTATCTAATTTATCGTTATAAGTGAGGAAGATTCGCTAAGACTTTATTGAACCTTTCACTGCTGCTATTCGCAATAAATTCCATTTCAATTATTATTCTATTGAAGGATAATTTATTGCTGGATTTCATTTTTTTCCTCTTCTCCTTTCTATATTTCGTTTATTGGAAGAAATATGGCGCGGAGTCGCTCATTGGTGAATTCATTAGATCCACATCGGGCAAACGACGCAGCACTTTTCACGGTGAACAGCGAACGGATTCCACGAATTCCACGTTCTCTGGTTCGCACACATTTTCATTCTCTTGACAGAGTGATTCATCGTGAATTTAGGATAGGGAGGTATATTTATTTATAAACACCAACAACGGGTCGTCTGGGAACATTTTCGCCTTCCAAGGTCATTGTTTGTGGTAACTTCGTTAATCGTTTTCACTATTGACAACAAATTTTTCATAATCATCTCATCATTTCATTGTGAACTGTGAATTAATTTTAATTAATTTATTCATTTTAAGATGCTTGATTTTTATGAAAAGAAGGCTAGAAAATTGAATTAGCAACTGGATTAGGCTTGAAGGCAGCCGCCGTCTCGGATTCAAATTTGGCAATTAATAGAAATGAAGTTAGAAATGAATGGATCTTAATTTCAATAAATTTACCTTAATTTCAGGGAAGAACGGTTCACGGTTGTACGGGAAATGCGAACTGTAAAGAGAAAGATGCAAATGATACTAAAAGAAAACCACAGACAGTTACTGAAAATCATTTGCCTTGGAGGCATAAAAAGACGCTAGGCTGGTTTCTAAATGATTTTGTGGAAAGGAAGAATATGAAGGAAAATACAGAAAATGGCAAATTTGATAGACGAAACTGTGGTTTTATATCTGAAAGTTAGTTGATTTTTATATAAAAAAAGTTTTTTCAAAAAATCATGGTATTCGGATTATGCAAGAAATTCGCTTCTTCTACCTTCTATCCACGAATAGTTGGAGGCGAAGATGTCTCAGATTCTTGGCGGAATAGTCTGGAAAAGTGGTGAATACTGTAGAAAGGTGATCTGATTGTTATGTAAATCATGTGAATCTAATAAATTTATCTATTTAAATCCAGTAGGATTTTTTTCATCATTTTGGTCATCGAAGGGCAAACGGTGCAATGTTTTTAATTATTCAGTAGAAATCGTCAGTTAGTAACTGGTAATATGACTTTGATAATCTCCTATTTCACTACTGTTTTATTGCCTTAGCAAGATTGGGCAAATCTTAAGTGCATTTAGTTAAAATTAACAATTCATCACCGATTGAGGAAGTGCCAGGCTTTAAATATCTTGGATCCACTCTAATCCCTAATGACCAAGCGAAAAGCGAGATTATGACGGTAGCTATAAAAGCGTTTTGTTCCTGTTTGCGAAATCTTTGTGGCGATGTCGCAAAATCACCATCAAAATGAAAATTGACTTCTACGTACTGCATTTCACTTCATCTCGTTAGATAAAATCTTACGTGGTCGTATCCACTTTCGCTTAAATACCACCTCCATTAACAATATCATCATAGAGTGTCGTTTTCTCTGGTTAAGGCGCGTTCTTCATTGCTCACCGCAGGAGTTGACATATTTCGTTACTCACTAGACTCTGCGATGGATAACGTCAAAAGGATCAGTCAAGACCTGGATTGGTACAATTAGGAATGAAAAATGGACTTAGACGATGGAAAAAGAAATGGCTTTTATTATCGTGAGTGTCAAATCGAATAGTTGTAAAACGTCTTTAACTAATGGAGCCAGCCTAACAAATAATGGTGAGAGCTGTAAGAAGATGAAATGCAATTAGTTATTAATCATTTGTGACCAGGCTTGTAAAGTTATTTCTATAAAAAGTAAGAAAATGCAAAATTATCGAATAAAGTAAATGATTGAAACAATAATTCAACTTCTTTCTTTTAATGGTATCCCATTAGTATAAGAGTGGAATGGCTCAGTGGGTTGTTGCTTAATTTGGAGCGCCGATTCTGAGGTTCAAGTCACCACGGAAGTAAATTTGTCAAAAATTTCGGATGATGCTAGCAATTCACCTGTGATTCTATCGCTAATGGACTCTCTGGCATATTTGTCTAGTCTGAGTCTAACCAGCATGTCGTGAGTTTTATTAAAAAATAAGTGATTATCTACTGTTTTTGGTTAGTAGACTTTGGTTAACTTTTGTCAACATCAGGACGATTTTACTTTTAATGATTATGATGAGTTTGAAGGCAGAAACCGAATCCTTTCATCACAGCACGATAATCTGAGCCTTTATCCACTCGGTTATTCTGTCTCCAGTTAGGTTTAATAAAAATTTAAGAATGTTCTGCTAAAACAATAAAATTACTAGAAAAACTTTTTTCATTCTTTCGAGAATATCTGATTTAGAAATATTTATCTAGTCCGACAAACTTAGCTGAACCATTTTAACTAGCAGTGGTGAATGCTCTTAAAAAAAAAAAAATTTAGGATGAAGCCAGAGGGTCACTTGGAGAAGTAATTTTCTGGCACCATTCGAATTTAACTTTTACTGTCGGACTTACTCTTACCAACTGACAATAGGGCCCATGGTGCATGACTTCCTTTCTATATGAACAATTTTCTAAATTAATTTTTCGGGAATTTTTTTCTAGAATCGATAGATCGTGGAGTTTCACAGGAACAAATCAAAGAAACCAAAACATCTCGATATCGATTAAATAAACAGCACCGTTTGATTAATTCAACGTCAGAAAAGAAGAAACACAAGAATTCTAAACATCGATCTTTGCAAAAGGATAGGAAAACAAATATTGATGGTGCATTTAACTGTACCGTTAATGTTCGATTACTTTGATATGTTTTTCAATTTTCACGAATTTATTTGAGATTTAGTTTTTTTTAGTTTCAGACAAACGGGAAGATGGCTCACATCAGAAAGGAAATATTTCCAGAAGTGTAAATGGAGATTATTGGTCAGTTGATCTTTTGTTATTTTCAGAAAATTTGTCTAAAATTTTGTTTGTTGACATTAGACCATCTGGGTTTTTGTCAGTTATATTTCTCTTCAATGATCCTTGGTTCACCAAAATGATCGAAAATCTCAAAAATGTTTTTATATTTTTTTGAAATAACGATATATTTTGTCATATTATTTTTTCAACTTTTCTGTTCTTTTTTCCTTTCACGTCTCGTTTGCATTCCTATTTTCCTTAGTTTCACACACCTAATTTCTTTCTTCCACCAGTAATTTAAATCGGAGATTGAAAGTTGGGTATTTTTATTTTTATCTAATATCAGTTGGCTAATTATTGTCTTAGAATGAGAAGTAAAATATTATTAAAATATGATATGACTCTTATATGTGAGTGCAAAGAATTATCAACAGCAGTCGTATCCTACAATAATATGGTACTGTTTTGGTGTGCAGTTTTGTTAATGTAAAATTTATTCTGCAGCTATTATGATACAGAAACCGACGGGTATTATTATCAGCATAGAGGTTCGCGTGGTTGGCGTAAACGTGCACCCAGCGCTACTGAAACACAAGCACAAAGGGTGAGGCATATTATGTGTTTAATCAATTACTTAAGATTATAAGGACATCAGATATCTTATAAAGAGGATTACTGTGAAGTGGCTTCAGTGGAAATCAGCGTTCTAGTGAAATTTCGGTTTTATTTGAAATTCGATATTGAATGTTGAGCTGGCATTAATTTTCCTTTTTTCCTTTTTTCCTTTTCTTGTTTCAAAATTTCTGGTCATTGCAGTTCCAAAGCCGTGCATTCTTATATTCTCATTAATCAGCTCTCATTAATCCAGTATATTTTTCAGAAACACTGCAGTTGGAGACAAGGTTTTCTAGCAGTTAATTTTTAATTTCAGGAATTGATTAAGTTATATGGTCCATTTCAGGTGTTTTTTGGTGTACCAACTGTTAATGCTTACATAATGAAAAGGTGTGGGTTTTGATTGTAAATTCTTTTTAAATATTTTATTTCATTTAGCAATATTTGATGGAAATGGAAGTTCATTTCAGGTTTTTACTATAGAGTATGTTAAATTGTTTCAGTTTGTTATCGTTTTTATATGCATTCTTTTATATAAATTATAAAACTTTTTTCATAGATATTATGATGCGGAGAGTGATGGATATTATTTCGAAATGCCATCTGTTGACGGTTGGAAAAAGCGAAAGCCTCTCGTACAGCAAAAACCAGCAGTTAACCCTCCCTTAAAGACAAACGGAATTCTGGTGAATAAGGAGGAGGAGAATCCTCTTCACAGAATATCATATGGAGAAGCTCCTGCCCGTGGACATCTCCCACCTGCATACATCGTATCAATGATGGATTTCATGCATCAGGTTGCAGTTTCCCCTTGTAGTATTTCCATCATTTTGGCCAATTTGGTTATATACTTAATCTCTGAATATTTACGAATTATTGACTATATATTTTCATTCTCATTCTTCTAGAAAAGTCCCCAAAATTTAAATATAGGCAGGATTTGTTAATTCTTTATTGAAATTTTTCGTTCAGTTTTTCAAGGAATTACTAAATAGAATATGAAGTGATTATCACATATTTGCGCATTTTATTTTTCAGGATCCTTTTCCCAGGGAATCTTCAGCTGATTCTACGTTGTCTTCATTTAGTGAAGATACTGCCAATTCGCCCATTAATGATATCAACCATGTTCAGAATATGCTCTATAACAGTGAGTGCTTGGATGGATTAGTCGCCAAATATGATGTTATAGAAGAGGTACCTTATTTTTTCTGTAGCTCTTTTGCGACAGGAGATGGTGTTCTTCTAAGTTTTTTGCTAAGTTTTTAATATTTTTTACTTTTTGGCTTTTTTATTTATTGTTATTGATTCTCAGCTTCTAGAATTGTGCATCTAGTATAAACTCTGTCCATTTCTAGGAGACCAAAGAGAGCGATAATTTGTCGAACTTTTTAGAACACTGCTTTATATCAGTAAACTCTCAAGAAACTGAAAATTTGGAAAATGAACCACCAGTTGATCTTGAAGTAAAGAAAAATTGCTTAAAAATTAATATTTAAGTAGTTATTTCTTATAATTGGAAAAAATTTCGATATTAACTAGTTATATATATGTATATATTTTATCTTATTCTTAATGTTTTTTGCAGAGTGTTCTTCATAGCCGACCCGACAGTTTAAATTTGATGAATAATGATGACTTTCATAACAAGATCATAATGAATTTCAATGCCGAAAGATTCATTGCCGATTTGAACTTTAGGTAAGTCTTAATTGGTCTCAAAACGATGCTTGTAGCATGAATTTTTTTTATAATGAATTTGACTATTTTCATGGTTTCATTCCATCTATTTAATGTTTCAGTAACTTATATGGTGAACGTGTTTTACGTGATTTAGCTTCATTGAAAACTCCGGTCAATATAAATCAGATGGCTTCAGAAAATTCACCTCATACTCCAGATACAGATCCTCCTAATTTTTCATTTCACTCAACAAAGGACGCACATAATCAATTGGAATTCGGTTTGTGGTAAGATTTTATCTTTCGGTAGAATACTATATATATTTACAATAAGAGGCATTTTATCAGCTTTTTGCACATAAGACGAAAAAACTTTCGTTTCGTAACTTTTCGTTTTACATTATATATATATATATATATATATACTATAGCACTGGTTTTTAATTTTAAGAAATTTTTTCTTTTTTTTTAGCAGCACTCACCGTTTCAAGTTTGATTAGGTATGTTGACTATTAAAATGAAATCTATTCGACAAGAGATCGCATAGAAATAAAAATATAGGTTAGTCTCCAGCACTCGGTTTAGTTTTAATAAATATCGAAATGATTATATAAATATTTATATTTTTTGCAGGCCAGCCGAATATAACTTGGATTTCGACCCAGTGAAAATCACTAGTATGGATCAGATAGAGACACATCCTATTAATAAATCGAGGTTGCGCATCTGGGCAGGTCACCTTACTGCAGTGCCGTGAAATAATAATTTGGTAAAGAATATGTAGGCTTATTTCAATTTTTTTCCACATTAACTGTTTTCACAATGATCAGTGGATTTTGTTCTTGTTTGAGATTTATGATTGATTTTTTAGTTTGAATTATTTTTTCCTTTTCTTTAGGAAGAATATTTTTTTCCTTTCCTTGGCGATCATATCTTTATTCTTTTATTAATCTTTTTAATATCTCTCCTGAAAATTATTATCACAATATTATTTTGTTATTACTATTGATAGTTATTATCATTAATAACTTATTTTATATTGTTCTTGTATTTTTTGTGGAAAAACGCCAGATAGATATGTTCAAATTTTCCGACATTCTTATTTGTTGAAATGTTGAACGAGCCTGTGTTATTGCGATGATATTTTATAGGCTAGGCTCTTAAGCATTAATTTTTTCTATATTCATGTGTTTGTGTTGATTTCAATTTTTTTGTGGTTGTTGTATGTGTATATATTTTTTGAGTTTCCTGGTAGACTAGCAAGAATGCTAATTGTAGATGATTGGATAATATCTTTTCATTTTGAATTTATTATTGAATTAGTTTTATTAGGTATCTTAAATATGTCAACTTGTGTCTTAATTGTTCATTTTGCACATCCATTAGTCTTTTAGTCTAATCCTAGAATTCTGCCTGCTGTAGTGTTTGTTATTTTAATTTAAGCCAGCTACCCTACTAATAATATTCATTTTCTCTTATTTCACTACCTCCTTAAATATTCGTTCAATAAATACTTATTTTCCTATCTGATTGATTATGTCTTGTGTCTTGCCATTCCACTCTTTTTATATACTAAGTATGATTGTGAGGTTTTTTTTCCCTCACACTTTCTTATTATTAATTCCCTTTAAATTTATTTAAAAACACAGTTAAATTTATGTTAGATAGGAAAATTGAGGTTGTATCAATAGTTTCATCATAGTTTTTTTTGTACTTTTTGTTTTAAGTGTGATGCATAACAGCGAATAATCCATAATAAAGTTGTCACAATTTGCAAAATTACCTCATATAATGGAAAGTAAAGGCTAATGGTTAAGACTAATCTATCGATATTTTATGTTCAAATAATTTTAATTTATTTCATATTAGTTTCCAGATAATTTCCCAATAGCAAGTGCCGTCATTCAAATTTAAATTAAAAGTTTGCAATAATTTAAACATAATTTGAAACGAAGTTTCTATGGATTTTTATTGCAATTTGTGGCCAAAAAAGATGGTACAAAGTGCAAAGACTGGATTTTTATAGATATTCATTAGAGATATCTTCCAAATGAATTGATTGATAAAAGTGCTCATGGCTTTGTGAAACCAATGAATACGTAAAAGTATAATGTGTATTGGTTTTGAATGGAACTTTTTTACTTCACTTTCATATAGTTCCGCATTAATCGGAATAAAACGGGAATAGGAGTGCTAATAGCCTCGGTTTTTGTTCTGGGAGGTAAATTTTGGCTACTACTCCCTACAGAAATAAAAATTCCAGCGGAGCTAGCATAATTAGAAGTTGCCTTGTTACTAGAAAGGTACAATTCGTGGGTTATTTTGGAAAAGCACTAGGTTGTTCCATCCAGTCGTCATTAGATTCGACCATTCTACATTTGGTCAAATTTTTAGGAGTTTTAAAGAGTTTAAATGAAAATCGTCGAAAATTTATGGGCGCATTATTTAAATTTCTACTGAATGCATGGTGGTTAAAGGCTGATCGGAGTGGTCTTTGAGAAGTTTTGCGGTAGTGATCGATCGGTTCGGAAATGTTGTGTCTTCATTATTCATCGATCTAATTAATTTCAACTGGTAAACATAATTTTCTCGCAAATAGTTCATTTTTTTAATTAAAAAAAACAAAATAACCAGCACCATTGCCTATGAGAATAGCGTAAAGACATATGAGGGTAGAGTGATAAAACACAGTCGAAATATTAATGATTAATTGGCCATTAACTATTTTCAAACGAGAGGAAGAATAAATAAAAAAATAAAAAAAAGAAAAGCATGATAGAAGCAATGTGGAACCGGAATTAATCGTATCCAATTTTCTTAAAGTTGGATGCGGACGGAGCTAACACTACATTCCGGGGAAGTTCATAGGTCTGAACAATTTTTCGTTTTAAAACCGTTGACCGTGTGTAGCCCAAAGACAAGTTGAAGTACAAAAAAGCAGTGGTGAATAATCCTTCAATCCTTTAGCAGCAATTTTAGTGAGAGGCTTTGTTGAATTCTTCTTGGATGGTACAATTTTTGAGTAAATAGAAATATTGTAGGTTCGAAAATAAGATTATACTAAAAGATTAATTCAATTAATCTTATTAAAATCTTAATTTGTTCAGAAAGAAAATAGAGGAATTGTTCGAATCAATTTTATCAAGAAAATGGTAAAATGATAAACATTGTCAATTTGTTATAAAAAAGTGACTGTGATTTTAACGGAAGAAATGGCCGAGCTAAATTAACTGAAAATTATTTATTTTTTTAAATAATAAAATAGGGCCTAAATTCACATGCTGAAGCCAGTTTGATAAAAATATTGTAAAAGTAAATAGAAATCAATAAAGCGCAAAATTAGAAGGAGATGGAGTCAATACTAATAATGGCTTGAGGTTGCAACTGCGATTTTGTAAGATATAAAATAAGATTTCTTTTAAAACTAAAGGCTGGTGGTGGAAAAAACTTTTCATGCTAAATTCTTGTAGAAACCTAAAGAAGAAATTATATGCCAGTTACAAATAGATGTATTTAACTTCATTCATTAACTCTGGAAACTCTGGTTGAAATTGAGGTAGAAGAAACTTAGTCAAATTCAAAAAATCAAGCAAATTATATTAAATATTTTACACTAACTTTCAAATTGGTTCCATTACATCGTATGACTTGCTCATTCTCTATAGTTTCACTCTGTAGGCCATATATGAATAATAATGAAGCCTTTTCTATTATGAAAAAACGATTAAGCAAAGTGCAATAATGGGTGAGTTAACAATGAGTGGTAAGAAATTTTTATGCTCTGTGAATTCTCTAATTACTTTTTATATTTTTTAATTGTTTAGTCGCTTGATTCTGCCCTATTTTAACTTGATTTATTATCAGTCGGAGGATATATTTGAAAAAAAAAGTCCCCTTCTCACTCCTTGTGGGTAGTACGGATCATTCTCAACTTTACCAGAGGTCTGGGAGATTGAGGTAAAGCAGATAAGACTTCCAGAGGATCCCAATTACCCTCACGCGAAAGGTGGAGAGGATTGACTGCAATTCTAACCGTATTATTACATTCCATATTAATCGCCCTCTTAACTTACTGCTTTTCCGTCGCTTAATTGCTTGTTTATATTATATTGTAATCTGATTATATAAGACGAGGAATACGGGATGCAAAAAGAACAAATTGTTAAAACCATGATTATAATAAATCTCTTCTTTGATAAAGCTTGATGAAATAATCATAATCAAAATCATAAAATTATGGGTATTCCAGTCTACTTATATATTATGCGCATAGATTCGCCCTGCTTTGTTGATGGTCTGATACTATGTTGATATATTTTGAAGCAAGTTTGTCCAAAATGGATTTTCAATGGAAAGGAAAAAGGGTGGATTGCTCAGTACCAGAGCTAAATTTGCCTAGATTACTGCGCGAATCCATGGAAGAGAACGTACTCTGCTCGGGAGACAGCACTAAATTTTTGAAAAATTAGAGAAATTTAGTGATAGTACGACTTTTTTGTTATTTAATGATGAATTTAATGGAAATGAATAAATGAGTGGAAGTTTCGAAAAAAAATTTTAAATAAAAACTATTTCAACGTAAATGAATTTATTTTTTCTAAGAAGAATCGATGGATGATATAAAAAGAAAGTTCGTAAGTCGAACTTATCCGCGGTGATTTTTGGTGAGTGCATTGAAGATGCTATCTCTTTTTTTTTAGTATTTTGAATATTAATTTTCATGCCGAGGATGAAATAATCGAGTGGATAATAAACTCAGATTATTGTTTTTGGAAAGAATTTGGGGAATGGCGGTGACAAATCTATCATCACTTGGAAAAAATAACCTTGCAAGTTTTTAACAACCTATTAATTTCATCCTCTGAGCTTTTTTAATAAAATTACGTTATCTTGAAGAAAAATATCTCAGCTATTATGATACGAAAACTGATGGCTTTTATTACCAATGTAAAAGTTCACATGACTGGCGAAAACGCGCACCATGTGCTATTGAAAGACAAGCTCAAAGGGTAAGATTTTAGCCAATTATTTGCTTGAATTTTTTTAAATTTTTAGACTTTTTTAAATTTTGGAACCAATGATAGATGCTGCTTCAGTCTGAACAGTTCCAAATGATTCAATTTATTACGTCTATGAGTTGTCGAGTGAGTGTGACATCGCGGAGAATATTTTATTGAAACAATAATCGTAAATATGGTGAAAATATATATTGTAGCAGTAACAGTACATTACAATACAATACATTATTGATCAGATAAATGATATAACACATCTGGATTGTAATGGCACAGAAGGTTTCACCTCCAGACTTTTTTGTCATCGAGTTGTTTTGATCCTTTCTGGAGTTGTACAAGAATACGAAATAGTATAACAAGGTGATATGCAAATAGCATTTATGTTTAAACGCAAATGAATTTATAGAATAAAACTCAAAGATGTTGTCTTCCTCTTTTAAAAAAATCACTGGATCACATTAACTAATAATTGTGTAGTACCTGTTCAGATCTGAGTCAACAGTTTACGAACTGGTTATCATCGACGTGGTCCTCTAGAATCTCTAGTTTTGCAGTAATTCGGATTAGTTTAATTCTCGTATCGATTGCCCAGATTTATTCGTTTGATCAAATATGTCTAGCGAAATATTTGATATGCTATCTGCTTGATTTGAAATGTGATTTCGTAACCGGTTCGAATGTCACTTCTGGAGTATTTTCCTGATTTTTTAATTTTTGCTTTGATTCTAAATTTAAATGATTCTATTCTTATTCCTATTCTTTTGGCTCAATGGCAAAATAATTACCGCAGAGAATCGAGACTAAGATTCGAAATCTTCGTTGGGCTGCATAGTCGGAAAAAAACAGAGGATAATAGAATGGTTCAGTGGATTTTTGCTCAATT